GACGAGCTGTTAGTCATTGGATCTCCGCGCAACCTCTTCAATTAATGGAATATCGTTGAACGATTCCCGCCGGTTGAGTACGACGCACTACACAGAACCACAGGTGCTGTGCTCAGGCAGCTGCTCAGGAGGGATCGCGAGGTTTGGTGGACACAGCGCGTCGTTGATATGGAGCAGTCTGACTCATCAGGAAACGCCCGCCAACTCTTCCAAATTATTCGCATCACCGAATTCAGACGATCAACAGTAAGTGAGGTTTTGCGTGAAAATAACCGTGAATTAATTCACAGTCGTCACCGTCGTCTGGCACGATAGGCAGAGCACTTTGCAGATCAATTCAACTGGACAGCGGCGCAACTGAGCCTATCTTCCGGGGTTCACAGTGCTCCCTGGTGCGTGGATGGTTCTCCACCGACAGAGGCTGAGGTTTCCAATGTGCTTCGCCTAGTGAAGCACCACAATTCACTCGGCACAGATGAAGTTTCTCCTGCCCTTTTCAAATATGGAGGTCCTGCTCTCACCAGCGAACTGACATCTCTGTTCCATCAGATTTGGCCTATTGAAACTATTCCATCCGACTGGAATTTAACGGATGTTGTACCTGTTCAGAAAAAAGGAGACCAGGTCATTTGCTCCAACCATCGTGGCATTAGTCTCATTTGTGTCGCATCCAAACTGCTCGCTGCCCTACTCTTACGGAGGCTCAGTTACGTACGGAAACAGCGCCTGCGTAAACAACAAGCTGGATTTCGCCCGGGTCGCAGTGGCGTCGACCACATCTTTACGATCCGCCAGATACTTGAACATCGCTATATGTTCAGTCAAGTAACTATACTCATATTCTTGGATATTCGAGCCGCTTTCGACTCTGTTGACAGTGTGATTCTTTGGGACTGCTTACTGAAGAGGAGAGTCCCTGAGAAGTACATCAGCATTCTCAGTGCTATGTACCATCAACTTCGGGCCGCGTGCGAGCATACCGAGAAATTTCGCCCCCTTTCAGTATCACTAGCGGTGGTAGACAGGGTTGTCCAGCCCCTCCATTCTTGTTCAACCTCGCCATGGACGAGATCCTGGATACTGCCCTGGATAACTCTGAGTCCTGCGGAGTTGAACTGCTCCCTGGTGACCGCCTTCGGGAATTAGAGTACGCCGATGACATCGCTGTGATTTACGAGTCCTCCCAAGCCGCCCAGCATGTGCTGCTCAGACTGGAGATGTCCACCGTCCAATTTAGGTTGAGGTTTGTCCCTTCCAAATGTAAGGTCCTATTACAGGACTGGCCAAGCGCATGTCCTTCTCTCACCCTTTCGGGGCATCCGTTGGAAGTGCTCGACAAATTCATTTATCTTGGAAGTTGTCTTAGTTCTGGCGGTTTGACAGATGAGATCTCTCTGCGTGTCTCCAAGGCTACAGTCGCTTTCGCTAACCTTTGTCACCTGTGGCTTCGTCGTGATCTCAGCCTTGCTCTCAAGGGACGAGTCTATAATGCTACGGTACGAGCGATTCTGCTGTACGGCTGTGAGACTTGGCCCGTTCGCAAAAGCGATGTTCAGCGACTATCAGTCTTCGATTACCGCTGTCTGCGAAGCATTGTTGGTGTTCGATGGCAGCACCAAATGAGTAATGAGGAAATCCGTCGGCGAGTCTTCATATCTAACAAACTCCGCCGATCGATTAATATCATCAATTCACTGCGGCTTCGCTAGCTTGACTGTGTGCTTAGCATGCTTACCCAGAGGCTACCACCACGAGTCCTATTTGCGAGCACAGGCGTGGCTTGGAAGCGACGAAAAGGAGGGCAATGTAAAACTTGGATCGAATGTGTTAAGGAGCAAACGTTGAAGCTGGCTGTTGTTGGGCGTTACCGACTCCCGGGTTGGGGACCAAAGGACCCCGAGCACACCTGATTGCAAAAGGTGGAGGATATGGCCAAGGACCGTACGCAAAGGCGCACTTACTGTGAGGCTCTTCTGTCCTAACAGTTGTTTTCCCTTCATGATATCCCTTTTTCTTCTTAGGTGTTGTGGCACTCAGCCAAGTATATTGTAATTGGTATAGTCTTGAATATGCATATATATATATATATATATGTATCAAGATAACGTCCTTGCTGAAAATCTCATCAGGGAATAAATGCCTCAGTTAACTAAGAAACCACCTCCCGAAACACAGCGTGAGGCATCTGGATGGTCTGGTAAAGTTGAAATGCAAAATCGCCAATGTGTGTGTACGAGTGGATTTCTTGGAAAATCGCCTGAATGTGAACCGGTTCCCCTCCACTTACTGTAAACTCCTGCGTGCGCAAAACCTACGGGCGAACGCTAGGAACTTGAGGCGGCTGTCTAAGAGCTACTTTGAGGTAGCCACAGAGAAACTTAATCAACATCGCCAATCCTACTTGTCCAAACGACCGGAAGTTGACAAATTGAACTCGGTATGTTACCTAAATTTTATGAACTTTTGTCGTGATATGGTGCACGAAACAAAGAGAACATGGTCTGAGCGGTTCGAGTAAACGTTGAACCACAAACTTTTCGAATCTAGTTTACCTTTCGATCCATCGAAATATGTCACCAACCTTTCAGCTAACCAATTAACTCGACTGCAACATGAGGTTCTGTCCTGTGGCTTGGAATTTTCTGTTACACCAATAAACATTAACAGCATAGAAACTCAGGCGCAACTCGAGGTATTTTGCAAGCAACTTACTGGCCTCACGCCAACTTCCAAGGATAATGAACAGTGGCTACAGGCAAAACGTGTTTATCTCGAATATCAGTACCGGATAGTGAGTTCCAGACAAAAGTCACCGCTCGAATCTAAACATATGAAGGCCTTAAAGGAACTCAGATCGGAAGGAAAAGTAGTTATACTCCAACCAGATAAGGGATCAGGTGTCGTAGTGCTGGATAAAACCGATTATCTAAATAACATTATCACCATACTCAATGACTGCACCAGGTTCGAGTTAGACAATGAGCCTGATCACCCAACTGAACTGAGGAGGAAGATAAACACAGAGTTAAAAACGTTGCTGGTGGGAAACATTATTAATGCTGAGACCGCTAAATCCTTGAGACCTAGGGGCACACAAACGCCACAGCTCTATGGGTTGCCACAATCACTCAAGGAAAGTGTGCCAGTGGGATCGATTCTATATATGAGCTACTCACCGCAACATAAGTTGGCTAAGTGGTTAGTCAAGTTACTTGAGCCAGTCAGGAAGTCACTGGTTACTTACAGTCTAAAGGACACATTCGAATTAGTGCAGCTACTGAACAGCATAGAGCTGAAAGGCAAGGTTATGTCCAGCATTGACAATGTCTCACTGTTCACAAATGTGCCACTGAAAGAGACCATCCAGATTATATGTAACTATGTGACTGAGAGTCAGTTGGAAATAGGTCTTCCAGTCTATGAATCGGAGAGATTGATACTCCTGTGCATATCGAATGTACATTGTATTTGCAACAACAAGCCTATCGATAGGTGGATGGTGTCGCAATGGGCAGTCCACTCAGAGCAGTGCTAGCGAATATTTTCGTTGCTCACCTTGAAAATTAAGCTAGGAATGAAATCAACCAAGCCGTGCTTTTTCGCAGGTATATGGACGACATCTTGCTCATTTGTAATCAAATGGTCCATCTCACTCAACTGAGTAACAAATTAAATAGCCTGCACCGAAACATCACAGTGACAACGGAACATGAGCAGAATGCTAGTTTGCCGTATTTGGACATCTTGATAGAAAGCATGAACGAAGGATCGATACGTAGATCTGTCTACTACAAACCCCTCTGAAAGGCTCAGTATATGATCTTTCATAGCTTTGTACTAAAGCGCTACAAACAGGGCCTGGTGCGGACTCTGTTAGAGCGAGGAAAATATGCACTCCTGACACGCTCGAACAGGAGATGCAACTGCTCACCAACACCCTGACAGAAGTCGGGTACCCACCTGCTTCCGTCGCTTAATTTAGGAACCGGACAGTAGAAGAGAACTACCCACTGTACCGAAATCGAAAGTAATGCTGCAACTACCGTTTAAGGTGGATGATTTAAGCCAAGTATTTTAACGACTTTTGTAATCCGCAGTGGCACATGTGTACCCCGCGGCACAACTGGTATTACTGTACACAACGTCTCTCATTCCTACTCCCTCGGTTAAGCCACCAGTACTGTCCAACCGATCGCACATCCTTTACCACTTTACATGTAGTTGCAAAGACGACTACGTGGGTATGACAGAGCGTCAGCTGCAGGTGAGAACTGCGGAGCATTTGCCGAAGTGGATGAGACGACAAGTCTCGCAAACGACCTCAACCATCGCCCCAAGTGCTTACGCTTTGCCATACAAAATTCCAGCCTTGTCAATCGCCCGACAACTGATGTCAGACAGACAACGTAAACCTGGGTGATCTTCACGTCAAATAACACCCAGGTTTTACGATATGGCGAAGCGGTGGGCCCCACCCTATGTGTATAAAAGGACGCGTTCGTCACATTGGTTCTGCCGTGGCCGTAGGCTAAATGACAAAGGAACAAGTGTGTGAGTGATTACCTGTGTATGTGCGTCGGTGTATGTCCTTTGGTGAATTGGCTATCCCAACAATACCAGATGTTCATGTGTACAGATGTACATATGTTTGCAGGCAATCTGCAGTACGCACCTGATAATATGCAGAGAAATTTTTCCGGATATAAATCGTGCGGTGATGTCATGCTATCGTTCATGTTAAGAAGTAGGACGAGTCGACGAAGATACATGTTCGATCTATTGAATAGGTGTACATGGTTGAATCATATATCACGGGATGAAAACCATTACAAAATATGGTGGTGTCCGTCCGTGTATGAACAGAAGCGGCCATGAATGTTTTCCGTCCGCTTTTCTTAAGCGATCCACCGTACATTATTCCTCCGATCGTTTGTCAATCGCGTTCACCGTCCAGCGATATAAATTGACTGCTGACTGGCATGAAAACAGGCTGCATTTACAACAGCTGATTCGAACAGGCCACGTAGCTGTGCATCACTCAAACAGTGGTGCTCTCTATCAGCCACAAACACAGTTTCCGGTTGATATGGTAGATGGTGGTGAAATCGATGCGAGTTCCCCCCCCCCTCCCGACGTTGATCACCAGACGCATGCATAAACAGCATTGTGAGATACGCTTACTGCGTGATCATTGGTCACAGTGAATGGCACCATTTGCGTCGCAGCCACATTTGTGATCAACAATCAGCACACGCAAGCTATTCATCCTAGGCGATGCGGTAAACATGTTCGATATTTATCTTCTCGATTAAGTGCATGCGTTCCGTGCACCAACAGTTTGTCCCATATCTGGGCTGCGAACTGTATGAAGGTCGTCGAGATGCAATTGTACCAACGCGCTTGAGCAATTGTTGAAACCCATTTACCACGGAGTGCGTTTACCGTATAAATAAATGAGCAATTCAAAAGAAGGGACACAAAGGTAACAGCTGTTAACTGTACCCCAATTAACCTTTTCCTGAAGTTTGGTTCAATCGATCTGGTATGCACATTTCCTACTAATACTAATGCATGGCGATTTCGTCATCACTGCAGTGTAGAGAAACGATCTCCATTAAAAGTGATCGTTACGAAAGTGCAAAATTAATTTCAGAATAGAGTCCACTGAAGCAGCATCTTATCAATCGTAACTCGGAATGTCCCATTTCAATTGACTCGGGTTCAAGGTGCGATTAGATACATGCGACATTTGTTTGGCTACGCAATGATGCTTACTTGGCACTGCCAGAGCTCATTCACGCAAACAGTGCATCCCACGCATCCTCACCTAGAAGGTATGAGTAGTCGGCGGTACTTGCTACGCCACTCATTATAATTAATAATAATAATAATTCTTCGGAGAGTGGACCTTACAATCCATTAGTTGTGTTAGCCTGTACGACGCAAGTAGCACAATGTTTTACCCAATGGAACATGAAGAATATTAGGCGAACAGCTATTAGACATACATTTTTAGTGAACGAGCTTAATAGCTATTCTTTACTCTTCCTATTTTCTACTTCTTGACTGTTGTTGAAACGCTCTACTGGGTTAGCCCGATTGGTACACCCACGTCATTGTTAATGGACGCTCATCGTCATGTCCTTTCCAGCAGTGCCATTTGCAAGCACACATTTCATTGGTGTTTTCTCATCACTGTTCTACTTGGTTATGTTAAAGGAATATTTAGTTGTCACATGAATATTGTACTAGTTTTTAATTTTTGGGTCTGCATTTCTTATTCGCGTTTGTTTCGTGACATTTGTTTAAACGCTTCATTTCGTTGTTCTGATTGGCCAGTGCCCGTCAGTGTAAATGGATGTTCGCTTTATGCTTGGAGTTCCATGATGCTATTTTAAGGACATATGCAATTGGCACGTGAGTACACGGTTGCCTATTCGCCCGTTGCATTTGACGTTTTTTCTTCGGTTGGTTGGCTTAAGTGTACTTTAGTAGCTTTCGTTCATTATGTCTTCAAAACTATATAAGCAAGTGTATTTCATGTATACAAGCCTCTTCCTGGATCATCTTTGGACTTCTGCTTGCGGTTGTGGGGTGAAGACGTCAGCTGCGACACAACAAAGAATTCGACGCATTTGTGTATAGGGGTGCGAACGGGGTCTTCGAAACAACAACCATGACGTACTTCAGCTGACCTACTGCCAAGGGAATCAATATTCTCCAATTTAATCCATCTAGGGCGCAGACTACTGTCAATGTGTGTAATCCGCGTTTCACTGAGCACAAGTTAGTAACAATATTAAATACTCCCAAAGAGGAAAAGGTACGACGCGGATTGGCAGGTAGCCCAGTCAACTGGACATAAGTACCACTGGGTATTGTCAATGATCTCTGATCGTTTGCGTGTAAGACTGCGTAACTACATGCCAATATGCAGTGAAGGAGATATGCGACTTTTGAGATCCCCTCCGAAGACAGAACAGGTGCTGGGCCTTGATTAAAATCTATTGACGATGAAACTACCTGTTATTTGTTGTGTGCAACTAACTGCAATGCACTACTGTTGACAGGTTTTGCTACTCATTATGCGATCTGTTCGTTGTTGCTTCGCGAACCAAATTCCACTACCCCGCAACGCTGGTAGGCCTCGGTCCCCGAGTATGGACCATGCCCATGTCTCCAAATCTGTACAACTCCATCGAAATATGATCGGAAACGCTTAATAAAACTATACGTGACCTATCACAACACGCAGATCGTTTCTCAAGTTTTCACATGTCGTAAAAACGTGTAACTCAAAGTAAATTTGAACTCACAAATGTGAAATGTTAGTGTGTAACCGTTCTCGGAATCTAGCATTGCAGAGATGCAAAGCAAACAATGCTGCGAATTTCTACACTGAGTTTGCTTCCACTATATGCTCTGCAAACTGTTCCCAACATTGACAAGTCGCTGTTCAAAGCACAAAAGATGGGAAATTCGCTTCAGCTATGGAGCCACAAACTAGTACTGGTGTCCGCGTGTGCTACAAGTTCGTAAGTGAAGCAGTGGCCTTAGTATGAGGAAGTCACCTAGATGTAGCAGGCGGTAGCTCAAGGTCAGATCGACTGGCAATCGACGATAGGTCAGGGGGTAGAGTCCAAGTCTCTCGCACCTGTCTTCGCACTATAAGACCCGTAAACCGGGCATGAACTTGATTGCGCTGTGTTGGACCTGATTGATCCACTGTGCCCCCCTCAGGCGATCTGACATTAGGCGGGTGAGCCGTACTCCAGCTACCTCTGGCATACTCCTCAGAACAAGTAGAATGGTGCATTTGAAGGGTCAGGAACGTAACTTCGGTGATAAAATAATTTTTCCTTGGATGTTGTCGCGCATTTCACCAATGTTCCACTTCTCTAGACAATTGATTATAATCGCACCTGCATCAAAGAAGCACAAACAACGATAGGTATACTATTGCGTGATTTGAAAAGCCTCCTTTTGCGTTGCACCTAGAACACACAGTTCCTTTTCAATGGTACTTATTACCGTCAAAAAGATGGTGTAGTCATGGGATCGCCACTAGGTCCGCTGCTAGCTGATGTCTTCATGGCAAAATTAGGGAATACCAAACTACATGCGGAGATCACCGCCCTGGATTGTTATCATCGCTATATGGATGACATATTTATTGTGGCCGATCAGTCTACTGATCTTAAGGCTGTTACTGAGCGCTTTAATCAGGTCCACGTCACATTGCAGTTTATCTGCGAGAAGGAAGCGAACAACCAGTTGCCGTTCCTTGATGTATTGTTAACTCGTAGGGTAGATGGCTCAATCCAACGGCAAATCTGCAGGAAGAAAACCTGCAGTGGCCGGTATCCGAACTCCCATATTTTCGTTCCTTTGGGCTACAAGAGAAAACGAATTCGCTGTCTAATCACAAGGGCCCGCAGGATTTGTTCTGAAAGCACGTTGGATACTGAGTTGGGGTACATTCGAAATATGCTGCGCGAAAACTGGTATCCTAATCGATACATTCTTAAGAACACACAAGACAAACCCGACCCGGTACGGGTTCCAACAACTGAGAAGAAAGAACTATGTATAAGATTACTTTTCAAAGGGGACGCAGCCACCGAGTGTAGCCAGAAGCCTTTCAACAGCCGTTAAGTCAACTTTTCCAGCTGCTAAGCTCAAGTGCACTTTCTCAACGGAACCCCTCATTCATATTTGTAACAAAGACAGGTTGCCGATGCTGACCACTTCTATGGTCATTTATCAGCTCGAGTGCGCTTGTGGCGTTACTTACATCGGTCGAAGGGCGCGTCACGTATCAAAGCGCATTAATGAGCATCTTCCACGCTGATTACGTCGAGGCCATACCAAGGCTATAACTAGCTCTGTTATGGCTCATCTGGTTGATAGTGGGCATGAAGTCGATCCAGTCAGCGCCTTTCGAATACTACACAAGGTTCCACCAGGCCAATAGAAAAGCCTGCGCCTCCGCACCCTCGATACAGCCGTGGCATTCAGTATTCGGTTGTAGCAACCGCCTTTGTGTTCACAAAAGAAACTGATCGAAGCCCTTAAGCTACCCTGGCCAGATAAAATGAGCGATTCGGAGGCCAGCAGCAATCATTTGACTACATCTTTGTCTCAGTTTGCGCTTATTGTTTACGTTTATTGCTGCGTTATGCCCCCGGATGGCACGTGATCTAATTGCACTTGAACTGATCGAAAGCACCGTTACGCCCATTGCTGTTGTACCCATATGATTGTA